TGTGTATATGTTGTCTATTCGGACCTTTTTATTAATAGGACTTATTCTACTGGTGTAGATTCTGGGCAAAGAGAGGATATAACAAGTCCTATTAATAAACAAGGTTCAAGTAGACAATATACACAGAAATGTAAAACAGTAAGGACATTAGATTCATTAATTAATAAATAGAACATGTCTAAAATCAAATCTAAAGAATTTTGTAAAATAATTTAATATAATTCTTTAACTGCTCGGTAAAAATTTGTAAATATCAATTAGTAATTAGATTATACTATACTCTATCTCACTATTAGTGAGAATAAAAGTTTTTGACCATTTAATATAGTTTAATTCAATAATATCTACGGATCTTTTGACAAAAACACAATTATTTTAGGAGAAACGAGAATCCGTTGAAATGATAATATAATTCAATAGATTATATAAAGCAAAATATGCCTAGTATGATACGTAACTAGTGTGGAAGACCCATTAGATTGAGTTACAGGTGAAAGGAGGGTATTGTGACATATTTAGATAAAGATATAGGGCAAAACATAACAAAGAGAGTGTAGAAATATACTGTAGTAGATCCTTTAGTTAGTTATTCTAGCATCCTACTTTTATTTTTTTCAGAGGTGATGGCTCGCGAGTCGTGGTCACCCACTCGACGCACCATGAATTACTAATTGTAATAGTGATATCGTGTACTATTGTGAACATTAGAATTAGAATTGTACTAACGATAATAATAGTAAGGGCAATTACTAATAATATTATAGTATTTTATATTGTAGTATCGTGTAACAGAAATAAATCAAATTTAAATCGAAAGATTTTTTCCTCAGATTGTCTGAAAGAATCAATAAAATCTACGCTTTATATCAATTTCTCAGTTGATCTGAAATGAAGAAAATTTCCATTTCATTTCTTACCTTATTGCCCCCTTTTTCATCTCTAGTAGATGGCATCAATAATGCTTTTTCTATCAACCGATTTTTCTATTTTTCTACAAAAGAAAGAAACAAATCTGCCAATTAAACTCGTTTTTGAATTCCGCGTTCAAAACGTTATTGCCGTTTAGTAAGAAAGTTAAAACAAACAAGTATATTAAGTATACGTAACAATGGTCTCAAGAAGTACCTCGAACAAACTTGTTGTTTTGGTATTGTTTTTCTATCTCCTGCATTTAATTAATACTGAAAATTTTGTTGTTTCTGTATCACTTATGAATACCATCCGAGACAATGCATATTCATCTAAAACTGGTGAAGTTTGGTGAAAAAAGCCGCTAATCCGGTAATCTTTACTTTGCCTTAAAATAAAAGCAGAAAATTGTCATAATATAATGCAAACAATATGAATGAAGATTTTTCTTCTCCCAAGTTTAAGTAAATCAACTGTTTGCATGAACAACGTTGAGAATTGTCCAATCCATATATAAGAGCTTTTATCGAACAGGGTCTTTGGAAACATTTCATGCAAATTTCTTCTTTGCTATTCGAGTTCTTATTGTCGTGTCTTCAGAATTATGATATGAAAAATGAATGAAAGATGTTAAGATTATAATAATCTAAATTCGAGTCTTAATTAACTTTATGTACTATACAAGTGTATCTTTCATGCCCACCTAACGGCGAATTTGGGGTTTTCTCTCGTAAAGTGTCTGCTTGTTCCTTCCCGTTCAGCTGTTTCCATCAATGACTTTCTGTAATAAGTCTATTACCCTGTTTCGGAATGACGTCGTCATTAATATACACCTTCTGTTCGGTAGAACGGAAAGTCAAATTCGTCATAAAATAGCAGCCATCGAAAATTCTTTTTGATTCTGAACGAATATGCTTCATCTGATTACTGTAATTTCACGAAATCAAATATTTGTCAATTATTTCTGTGACATTCACTTTGAAGAAATAGTTTAAAAGTTTATTCATTAATATTTAAGTGCTGTACAAAATTAATTGATTAATCATATATTTATGTTGAGTCATTAAAATTTAACCAATATCAATTATTGTAATACAGAGAAGAGTTTCGGATCGGATCGTAGATTTCTTTCTTGTCTGAGAGCACTAGCACCATTTAAATATTGTTACCTTTTCTACTAGTTTCTGTTAGACAAATATATTATTAAAGTAATTACGACTAATTATAAATGTCGTATTAAGCAATGTATACTATTAAATATGTTCCGTTATGACTATCAATTTTACATCATTTCCATATTACATATATTGTGTAGTATTGTACACTAAAGTAAATTATGGTGAAAAAAGTTCTGGAAGCTGCGAGTGAGAAAATAAATTTTATTAAAGCAAACTGACTAGTGTTTTTTTATCATACCAAACAAAACAACAAAGTAGAAAATAGTAGTGTTTTTCGATAAAAAATTTGAAAAATTACAATACTAACGGAAAAGTATGATATACAGGAGTAAGACACTACTAATTTGAAGTGGAGAGCATATATTTTTTTTAAATTAAATAAATTATAAACATGATTAAAAATTGCAGCTTGACATTGTGGCGATGTCACAAAAAATAATTGCTTGTTCTCGTTAGCATCTTCGAGGACTGAAGCAGGACCAAGAAATTCTGTNTTTTTTCCCTGTGGACTATTATAACGTCATTCTTATCTATTTTGCAGTTATGAATTGTGCAATGTTCGTAAAAAACAGAGTTGATTCTATTATATTTTAAATCCGCGATGTGTTCTTTTAATCTTGTTTCTAATTTTGGTTTTGTTTCTATATTGTATGCTTTTGGTGATTCGCATTCCAGTAATAAAAAGTATGGTTTTCCATTTAAAAAAGCTTATAATTTTAACCTTAAAATAATCTTGACCTCTGACCTAGACAACAAGGTCAAAGGTACATCCGGTTGTGAAATTTCTTGCTCTTTCCATTTTCGGGGTCAAAAATGTGTGTTCCATTGTAAAAACAGACTTGACTTCCAAATGACCTTGAAGGTCAAGCTCAAGGTCACATATGAGGTCACCAATTGATTGGCCTCTCGATACCTACAACTTTTGTCTATACCTTTTTCCAATATAATTGTGAGACCCGAAAGGCCCCTGGGTCTAAATTAATATTTTATTATTTACGTTAAAATAATGTCACCAAATATTATTTCATTTTTGGTGAGAAAAATACTGTTTTAACGTGGGAATAGGCAGAAAACAGATGTCACTTCCTTTCACTGGAGTTAGTACATCCTCTGACTTTCCCTTATCTGGTTAAAATCCAGCTCAGATGGGAAATGGTTACCCCTCATTCATCCCCCCTTTCATCCGTTCTTACGAAAGAGTTACTGGCCGATGATTGGTCGGTATTCAGAAGATATAGAGGGAACTTGTCTGAATTTGGAGAGTTCAGCGACAGATCCGAAAGCGTCCAAACTCCACATACGTTTCCCTCCTGATGACCAACGTCCTCAGACGAGTCACATACGGAATAAGTCTAGAGTCTGCACGTAGGAAATATACTTTTATATGTGTGCACGTATTGATCTCCCAGACGAAGTAAATGAACTTGCATACAGAGAAGAAGACGAACGACATCTGAAACAGGTCGTATGTTTTATAACGATTTTTGTGAGCTCTCTCTCGATCGCGAATAGGGTATAATATAAGTTTAATTATCTCCTGATTTGTATATTAGTTGTAGTAGGTCTGTCTCTCGTTTATCCACATTTTGTATGAGTTTACATTCTTCTTTTATTAAATTTATTATTTTGTTTTTAATTAAAAATGTCTTTTAATTGCGTGACCGAATCAGATCACATACGCGTGTTAATCCGCGTATAATAAGATTGATTAACTGGTGTCAAGGAATCCTGACGAGTATCTGAACCTCGCAGTTCAGATCATATAGCGATTATCGCCCTCCTATAAAAAGTTACGAGAGCCGATCTCACGATCGCGCGCCGTAAGTGTCGTAGACTAAGATCTACGTCCTGGCTGATCTCACATAATCAGATCCAATTAAGTTATTTCAATGTCTCGAGATAAAAAATACACCCTGTATAATAACTTTTTTGCAAAAAAATTGAGAAAATATTCGAAAAGCTCGCTCACTTTCACAGAATATGACTTTGTCAATTAAAAATCTATTTTATCATTATGAATTTCTTTTTATTAATAGTATGATTAGTAACATGAAGATTATTTTATAAATAAAAATTCTTAACAGCCGGGAAAGTTACGAAACTCGTTGCTGAATTTTTTTATTAGACAGTGTCTTGCATCTCTTCTTGCCACTTCAGAAAAACTCTTTGAGAGCCGATCTTTGAAGTGTTTGTAGGGTTTATTTTTCTCTTATTTTCTAAGTGAATAAACAAATAGACAAACATTCTAAACTTATCATTAGATAAAATTTTAACTGGAGAAAAGACTTAATGTAATTCGAAATATTAAATATATTTATATTGATTTTCTTTCCAGATCATCCTTCGAAGACACATTGAAACTGCAAAATGAAACTCGACTGCGTAAGAAAAGTCCTTTGTCGTATTTTCAAAAAATTAGGAAAAACAGTCGGACGGCATCCTTATTACTTTATTCTTTTACCTATAATTCTATCTATAACTCTCTCTATGTTCATCACAACACTAACACCTAGCAAGACATTTAAAGACATAATTACTCCGGATAAAGGAAAACTTTACACCATTAAAAAATCCATAGAAAATACATTTTCATATAATTCATCTCAGTTCTCCGAACAGATAAGAATGATCGATTTACCGAATGCTCTTGTATTGTATGTAATGAAAAAAGATGGAGGAAATATGTTTGACAAAAATATTCTGTCAGAAGTGAAACTGATCGATGAAATCACAAAAAATATAACAGTAGAAAGTGAAGGGAAGTTAATTAAATATGCAGACGTTTGCACTTTAATGCACAAAAAATGCTACGATAATCCTATTATCGAGGTGATATCGGAAGTGGGAATTAATTCCATACTTCAAAAGAGAAAGAAGCTAAAGTATCCCGTCGATATAGATTTGTTGTCTTTCAAGTTTAAAGCTTACTTTATAAATTTAGGGGGTGTTACCGTGGATAATCACAACTTCGTAGAAAAAGTAAGTGCCGTTCAGCTACTGTATCTAACCGATGATAAAAATGAAGTAAAAAACAAATTATTCACAAAATGGTCGGCCCATATCTATGACACCATTCGAAGTTATCACTTCGAATATACTAAAGTCGTCCCGCATTCTCCTTTAGCAATAGAGCAAGAATTTCGAAAAGAATTTGATAAAACGAAACCCAAAATAGGAGGTTTGGTCGCAATTATGATTGTACTTTCCATACTTCTCAACACCAGCAATAGCTGGGTGAAGAGTAAACCTCTTCTCGGATTAGCCAGTGTGATTAATGCTGGTTTGGCTGTCGTGTCATCTTTTGGATTGATGGCAGCATCGGGTGTAGAAAGTACTTACTGGAATGTCACCATTCCATTTTTAGTGCTTGGTAAGTAATCACTATTTCTGAAAACGTACTATTAGACTATTGTTAACAAATTAAATAACAATTGTATGTGTATTTCAGTGACCGAGATAGACGATGCTTTCGTATTAATAGGATGTTGGAGGATCATTGATCCCACACTTACGGTTGAGAAACGCATGAAAGTAACATATTCTGAAGCAGGGGTTTCAATTACTTTAACTTCACTCACTAATTTCATTTCATACTGCATTGGAATGATGGCTCCATTTCCTTTCATTCGAATCTTCAGTTACTACACTGCAACTTGCATAATCTTCAATTTTCTATATCAAATAACGTTTTTCGGAGGATGTTTGGCGTTGAGTGGATATAGAGAGGAGAGAAATCTTCGTTTCGGAAAATTTATTAGATGTGGTAAGTTTAAATTTATTTATAACGCATCTGCAGAGACATAAAAAAAATTTCAACGACATATACAGTCAAACCCCCTTTAAATTGCTACCATTGATTTTCAAGCCATGATAGAAAAGGTAAGGGTGGCGGATTATCGAAAACAGCAAGTAAATAGGAATGTCAGGATAAAATTCAGAATAACTATCTGTTTTCCTTCATTTATATTACATTTACTGCTTTTCTCTTATAAAAAGAATTTGGTCAAAGTAATTTGAACCATACATTGTTTTCTCGAGTTATGGAGATAAATGTATTCAATGAGTCCACATGCATCAGATAATCCTTATTGGATGCGTTTACCTTTAGAAAACGCCGAATATTTTCTAAACAAGCCTGAGCTTTCGCAGTTTCTAGAGGATTTTCTATGTCATAATTATCGTGGTCTTCTTCGTTTTCTTTCTGCAGTTCACTATCTTCTTTTCTCGCAAAATTATTTCTTCTAAGGTTAACTCTACAAAATTTTACTAATTGCTATCGGTTTTAATCAATTTTCAGCAGCAAGTTGGATTGTAAAAGTAATGTTTAAAATATAGCTGATATCACTACCTAACACTCGAACATTATTTTTATAATCCGAGTCAATTTGTGCCTTTTTTCTGAATAAGCCAGTATATAGCCAGCAACAATTTTATTGTCCTGGATCTGACTTCATCCCACGATTTTTTAATCATCCGAAAAAGCAGATTTTAGGACCATCTCTATAGGAATTTCATCATTGATGCATTCGATAATTTTCTTTATTTGGGTGGCATCTGTAGTTAAGTATTAGTACCTTTTATTAAAGCAGAGTCACGTGGTTGTAGAATTCCGCTGCAATTTGCTGGAAAGAATTTCCACATTGCTCAAATTTACTATTTTATGATTGGGTGCATTATCAAGTAATAGCAGGACATTGCGGTTTTTTCTCTTCGTATCCTTATTAAAATCTTCAACAAATTCGTAAAAAGGTGGGGATCCCGTTTTATGGTGCTTGTAGTGACAATAGAAGGATCGATATTTATAAAACAACGAGGTTTGAGAATCTTCAATAAGAGTTTGTTTTCTTGTCACTACCGTCTGAATTACAACAGAATGCAAATTATGATTCTATCTTTATTTTTCTTGCAGTCTTTCACAGGTGCCGATTACAATCTGACAAACGATTGATCAATCGTTTGTCACATTGTAATCGGTAAATTAAACCGGTTTCATTCATCCATATTATACACATCTTTCATTTCATACTGACCTATCATTGCCGATAGGCTATTTCTTTTATTTTCTACAACATTTAAATAACTTCAGCGCTTTCACCGTTTCTTCTTTGATAAATCATGATGTTGTTTGAACCGATGCAGCCACCAATTGCTGTAACTAAAATTGTTTATGTTTATCTACTTTCCAAATATTTTTGCTTGCTTTCTTATCACATCATCATTGATAGCGCCATTCTTTGCATTTACCTGCATAAACCATATTACTGATGCTTTTTGCAGTTCGTCGTACTTTTCATTTTTCATTTTTCTGGCGACTCTATTTTCTGAATTCATCCATTTGCTTTTATTGTTGAAAATATCGCCTATCATCAGTCTTTTTACATTTTTCTTTCACACAAGATAAAAGTGACTGGCAATATATTTTTGAAAACTGGATAGATCGGTTTCACTATTTGCACAGGTTTATTTCTTTTTCTGACTGTAAGGATCCTTTTTTTTCTACATTGCATAAAGCACTAAAACAATCACACTGTACAGTATTACTCTATAACAAAGGTCGCCAAACGTTTTTGATCGTCGACCCCCTACAAGTTTTCAAACCTCACATCGACCCCCACCAAAAAGTTTGTGTTACAAGCAAAACAAAGTACTTACTATTTTAATACATTTCTTTTAATGTTTGCATTTTTTTTAATTTACTGTATATTTGTTAATAATAATTTTTGTAACTGACAATCAGTGAGACAGATAAGCTTCATCCTTATCCGTTATTTGGACCTTGCTCAGATCTTAACGGTCAATCTTAACCGTCAAACCTCAAACTTCTTGTTTCTCATATTTTAAAATTGCTGGAAATTCTCGTTCTCACAATATTTCATCCTAATTTTTGTGACAATAAAAATTGTAGTGGTTTATCCGAAATATTATGGACGGAAAACGGCAACTTTTATTTTAATTCGTGGTTGGCGATGGCGGTTTATTCTATCGATTTACTATGGAACGAATCGTTTTTCGAGATTTTTGGAGGAAAACTCAAAGCCCGGGGTGGCAGTACATGGACGGGCAGTTTAAAGGGGTTTGACTGTAAAACAAAAAAGGGAAAAACCAAATAAAGTAAAGTAAACGTGGAAGTGCATTCTCACAATTCTGTCAAAATCCAGTTTTTACACATTCAATGAGTTTTCTCTTAATACTATTTTAAACAGGGTTAATATTTTCGAACAATAGCCACAATGCATGTGACGTATCTTGAAAATACGATAGGCCTTTGCATTCAAGAATGATATCATTCATATTTTAAAGTCATTACGATTTCAGATTTTTGTATGAATGATTATCAATTTTCTATTACAGGAATCGGAGCACGTCTTAGATTTACTGAAAGAACTTTGAAGAATATATGTAAAAAAATGTAATGACTTACTAAATTTTGGAATGTCTATTAAGTATCTTTTCCTGACATGCCAGGAGAGATGTCTGCCAGCATTTAATCAAAACCTGTTACTCAGAACGCCAACATATTGTGTTGTATTAGCCTAGATAAATCGTACAGTACAAAACAACAACACAAATGTTATTAAACTTATAGCAACGGTCAGAGGAAACCCCACAAAACCTAAACGAAAGACTATGCTATAGCCTAACTGATATTTCTGCGTAGTTTAATCTAAGTTATGCTAAAAACGTAGAGTTTCTGTAGTATTTCAGATAACGATTAATATTGAATATATAAAAAATAACTTTCCGTTTCATTAAAATTTATAGTTTTAAAAAGTAAAATTTTGCTTTATATGCGTTTTTTTTCTTATTAAAATCGAAATATGAGGTTTATACTACATTCTATAGTTTATTCAGAATCAGTCTACACCATCAACTTTCAAAGAATTCTTTCAACCTAAGGTTATCAGCGTCAAACTTATGCTAAATAAATTATTTGCATATTAAAAAATTTTTAAACGAAATTATAACTTATTTCAAGTAAAATTTCTGATGCTTCAGTATATTTTCTTTCATATTATAAATAATAATATTTTCATTTCAGATAAAAGTGATCAAGAGAATAATAACACCGAAGAAGAAGAATTTACTATGGCTCTTTTTAGAGATTCATTAGGAAAAATAATTTCTAATCCACTGGTGAAGATAAGTATTCTTATAATCTACATCGTTAACTTATCACTTGGAATTTGGGGCACATTTTACATCCAACACGGCATTAAGTATGAAAAGTTATTTGCAAAAGATTCTGTACTTACAGAAGGATACAGAATTAATTTGAAGTACTTCAAGCGTCATTCGTATCCCTATCATATAATAATCAATGAAACGTTGGATTATTCAGACATTAAAGTTCAAAAATCGTTAGAAAATCTGTTGGAAAAATTCCAAATGCATCCCAACATTGCTGATGGACAATTCACTTTATCTTGGTTGAAATTCTACAAAGTATTTCAGAAAAATCCCATAGCCAAATTTTCATTACAAGGTTACAATATGTCAAACAAACAAGATTTCATCGATGGGCTTCGCAATGTTTTCTTTAACATCAAAGCTGCCCAGTCATTTTCCAATGACGTCGTCTTTAACAGCAACAAAACTGACATCTTATACAGTAGATTTTTTGTTATGGGACGAAATGTCAATTCATCAGACATAGAAAGAGACACATTAAGAGATTTATTGAAAATTGCTGACGAATCTGACATTCCTGTGCTGGTGCATTGCATTAAGTCAAATCTAATTGAACAAGGAATCATAATTGGACAAATGGTTTACCAATTGTTTTGGATTACTGCAACACTGATAACAGCAGTCTTTTTATTGTTTGTACCAAATTTATTAGTGGCAATTATTGTTGCAATTTCTGTGGTTTCTTTAATAGTAGAAACTTTAGGTTACATGTCTTTATGGGATGTCAACTTGGATATTATATCATTGATGAGTCTGATTCTGTGTGTGGGATTCAGCGTGAATTATCCTGCTCATATTTCGTACGCTTATGTCATGTCACAACGCAAGACACCAAACGAAAAATTAAAAGATTCTCTGTATCGTATAGGCTTTCCAATACTTCAAGGATCTTTGACCACGGGATTAGGAATATTGATTTTATATTCTGATGTATATTTTCTTTGCACATTTGCGAAAATTGTGATTCTTGTTGCTCTGGAAACGGCTTTTCATGCCTTATTCTTTATTCCTGTTATTCTTTCTATCATCTACGCTATATCCGATAAGACAAAAACAATTTTTTGTTAATCAGGAAATCGTAATCTTAGTGTGTTGTCATTCTTTCGTAATTTTCAATTACGTGAACATCACAATAACTCCCGAAAGACATCAATTAAATTTATCGGAATATTATTTTCTTTTAAAATAATGATAAAAAATTTTCCATTTTCCTTTATTCGTGTTTGCTCAAGTAGTTTTTATATTATTCATTAATTTCTAATGTAATATAATTTAACAGTGTAAACGTGCTCTATCCTAACAGTAAGAAAATAACATGGATATATCTATATGCACCCTCTGTGTATGTAGATGTGTGCCCAAAGTTTAGCAACGATGAACACAAGTTACTTTACTGTGTATATGTTGTCTATTCGGACCTTTTTATTAATAGGACTTATTCTACTGGTGTAGATTCTGGGCAAAGAAAGGATATAACAAGTCCTATTAATAAACAAGGTTCAAGTAGACAATATACACAGAAATGTAAAACAGTAAGGACATTAGATTCATTAATTAATAAATAGAACATGTCTAAAATCAAATCTAAAGAATTTTGTAAAATAATTTAATATAATTTTTTAACTGCTCGGTAAAAATTTGTAAATATCAATTAGTAATTAGATTATACTATACTCTATCTCACTATTAGTGAGAATAAAAGTTTTTGACCATTTAATATAGTTTAATTCAATAATATCTACGGATCTTTTGACAAAAACACAATTATTTTAGGAGAAACGAGAATCCGTTGAAATGATAATATAATTCAATAGATTATATAAAGCAAAATATGCCTAGTATGATACGTAACTAGTGTGGAAGACCCATTAGATTGAGTTACAGGTGAAAGGAGGGTATTGTGACATATTTAGATAAAGATATAGGGCAAAACATAACAAAGAGAGTGTAGAAATATACTGTAGTAGATCCTTTAGTTAGTTATTCTAGCATCCTACTTTTATTTTTTTCAGAGGTGATGGCTCGCGAGTCGTGGTCACCCACTCGACGCACCATGAATTACTAATTGTAATAGTGATATCGTGTACTATTGTGAACATTAGAATTAGAATTGTACTAACGATAATAATAGTAAGGGCAATTACTAATAATATTATAGTATTTTATATTGTAGTATCGTGTAACAGAAATAAATCAAATTTAAATCGAAAGATTTTTTCCTCAGATTGTCTGAAAGAATCAATAAAATCTACGCTTTATATCAATTTCTCAGTTGATCTGAAATGAAGAAAATTTCCATTTCATTTCTTACCTTATTGCCCCCTTTTTCATCTCTAGTAGATGGCATCAATAATGCTTTTTCTATCAACCGATTTTTCTATTTTTCTACAAAAGAAAGAAACAAATCTGCCAATTAAACTCGTTTTCGAATTCCGCGTTCAAAACGTTATTGCCGTTTAGTAAGAAAGTTAAAACAAACAAGTATATTAAGTATACGTAACAATGGTCTCAAGAAGTACCTCGAACAAACTTGTTGTTTTGGTATTGTTTTTCTATCTCCTGCATTTAATTAATACTGAAAATTTTGTTGTTTCTGTATCACTTATGAATACCATCCGAGACAATGCATATTCATCTAAAACTGGTGAAGTTTGGTGAAAAAAGCCGCTAATCCGGTAATCTTTACTTTGCCTTAAAATAAAAGCAGAAAATTGTCATAATATAATGCAAACAATATGAATGAAGATTTTTCTTCTCCCAAGTTTAAGTAAATCAACTGTTTGCATGAACAACGTTGAGAATTGTCCAATCCATATATAAGAGCTTTTATCGAACAGGGTCTTTGGAAACATTTCATGCAAATTTCTTCTTTGCTATTCGAGTTCTTATTGTCGTGTCTTCAGAATTATGATATGAAAAATGAATGAAAGATGTTAAGATTATAATAATCTAAATTCGAGTCTTAATTAACTTTATGTACTATACAAGTGTATCTTTCATGCCCACCTAACGGCGAATTTGGGGTTTTCTCTCGTAAAGTGTCTGCTTGTTCCTTCCCGTTCAGCTGTTTCCATCAATGACTTTCTGTAATAAGTCTATTACCCTGTTTCGGAATGACGTCGTCATTAATATACACCTTCTGTTCGGTAGAACGGAAAGTCAAATTCGTCATAAAATAGCAGCCATCGAAAATTCTTTTTGATTCTGAACGAATATGCTTCATCTGATTACTGTAATTTCACGAAATCAAATATTTGTCAATTATTTCTGTGACATTCACTTTGAAGAAATAGTTTAAAAGTTTATTCATTAATATTTAAGTGCTGTACAAAATTAATTGATTAATCATATATTTATGTTGAGTCATTAAAATTTAACCAATATCAATTATTGTAATACAGAGAAGAGTTTCGGATCGGATCGTAGATTTCTTTCTTGTCTGAGAGCACTAGCACCATTTAAATATTGTTACCTTTTCTACTAGTTTCTGTTAGACAAATATATTATTAAAGTAATTACGACTAATTATAAATGTCGTATTAAGCAATGTATACTATTAAATATGTTCCGTTATGACTATCAATTTTACATCATTTCCATATTACATATATTGTGTAGTATTGTACACTAAAGTAAATTATGGTGAAAAAAGTTCTGGAAGCTGCGAGTGAGAAAATAAATTTTATTAAAGCAAACTGACTAGTGTTTTTTTATCATACCAAACAAAACAACAAAGTAGAAAATAGTAGTGTTTTTCGATAAAAAATTTGAAAAATTACAATACTAACGGAAAAGTATGATATACAGGAGTAAGACACTACTAATTTGAAGTGGAGAGCATATATTTTTTTTAAATTAAATAAATTATAAACATGATTAAAAATTGCAGCTTGACATTGTGGCGATGTCACAAAAAATAATTGCTTGTTCTCGTTAGCATCTTCGAGGACTGAAGCAGGACCAAGAAATTCTGTTCACTATCTGTTCCATTTTTTATGGGACAGATGGTGAACGTTACCAGAGTCTGCTCTATTATTTTCGAATAATTACAGGTTGGACATATTATTCAAGCTTCCACAGTATTATATACAAAAAATAATAATAATTATAAAAGTGGTTCGCTGATTGGGCAACTGGGTCATAAAGGACAAGGCCCAATTTCTGCTTGGATCACCCCCCGAAAATTTCTTGGGGATTTTTCGACCCGATCGGATTGAATCCCGGGTCTCCCAGAGCGGTAGGCTGCCACCGTTCGGCCATCCGGCCGTCTTTAAAGTTTCTTTATGCTATTTTCGATGATTAAAATATTAAAAACAAATATTAAATTTATTTGTTTCTGTAGTCTGCTTTCTGTACTGTGGAGTATAAGCATTCTATATCTATTATTATTATTATTATTATTAATGTACCGGTACAGTACAGTACGTGTTGGCTTAATAAAGAAATCTATTAATAAACTTTCAAATTAATTAAATAATTGTAGTTTGATAAATCCTTTGTAATAACAAGTTTCATTACTTAATAACTATCAAGAATATTACATAGAAAAATTAATTTTTTATAGTCCATCTTGGCAAGATTATCTGTTGCATAATTTGTTGCAATCTACGCGTGTTCTCGACATAGTAAATTACAGTATTTTGAATCTTGCGATCCTTATTTCCTATCAGTTTACAGCCTGTAAATTAGCCGAAAACATTTATTGTGATTAAAGTCATTGCTGGAAAAGCACGAATGGTGTGTTTTTTATTTTATCGTCAAATCTCGAATTATTAAAAAGGAAATTTTTGAGTTGCCTACTTTTGGGTTACTTTTCAGAAAAATTTTGGCTACGAACACTAAAAACATCTGGCAATGTTTTTCTGTATTGAGGTTACCTTACCCTGACTTATGAGCGCAACAGTTCCAATTTCCTTTGTTCGGTGTTGGCGACATTAGAAAATGGCAAAATTGTCCGCATCTAAACTGAACATTTTAGCAAACAAGTTTAAAGATGAAGGCTTATGCACAGACGGAAAAGTTCTTCGCTGTTCCATTTCCGATTATGTGATTTCGGTTGATGTGAAACACCAAGAAACGAAAATCAAGCGACACGAATTCGGAAAAGCATAGAAAAGGCAAACAAAAAATGAGGAATTTCGAACAGATATTTATGAGGGCCTCATTTCAAAGAGAGAAGAATATCAGAAGGCTAATAATGCGATAAATACAGATTTTAACGACCGCTTTTCTGCGGCAAATATACCCTTATATAAGGTAAACAATCCAGCCTTTAAGTTATTTCTCCAGAAATATACGGGAAAGCTTGATCCCATCGAGAGCACTCTTAGAAAAAACTACGTGAAACCAGTTTATGATCAAATAATATCTACAATTCTGAACGTTGTCGGAGACAATCCTGTAGTCTTTATAGTCTTTATACTGGACAAAACAACGAATTCCACAAAACGGTACGTGCTGAACGTTCTTCTTGCACCACTGACCGGATGCTATGTACAACCAATGTTGTTCAAAATGTACCAACTTAAAAATACAAACTCAGCTGCAGTGTCCCAAGCTTCAATGATGTTTGCGTCACGTTGTGGCCAAATGGTGTCCAGTACGATAAGGTTTGGTTTGTCGTTACAGATCAAGCATTTTACGTTGTCAGAATTCTCAAATTTGAAGTGTATTTACAACCACCTAAAACATGTGACTCGTGTTGCCCATGCCCTACACGGAGTATGAGAACGTATTCGCGTAGAATATAGCAATGCCAACGACTTCATTTCGAAAATGAAAATGGTTCTTCTCAAGTGCCCTAGTTGGGAGCGCTTGTAGCAAGACGTAACTACCATTACCACCCACTCCAATGGTCACCTGTTGGGGGTCTTGGATAAAGACAACTGAGACTAAACGGGCATGTTTCATTTTTACTCGGAATTCTAGTTCAGTGCAATCCAAAATATTTTTAAAATCGGGATTTTTTGATAAACTAGATCTGAGTTTGTCGAGGGCAAAACCGTCCAGTACATCAAGCCTGATTTACAACATTCCATTGATCCCGCATTTCAGTTTCACGTTTTTCCAGCTCGTTGATTTTATTCGCCAATAACTTGTACGAATGCGCGGAGTAGAGCTCTGTGATCACTACTGGATCAGCGACCAGTTTGATACTGTAGACGGCCGCAGAATCGCCAGGAGAAAGTTCGTTGATAAACGCATCAATTTTCTCGAAGTTCTCACAGTAAAATACCACGCTGTTTCTCCAAGACCCCCAACGGGTGACCACTGGACTGGGTGGTAATGGTAGTTACGTCTTGCTACAAGCGCTCCCGACTAGGGCACCTGAAAAGAACCATTTTCATTTTCGAAATGAAGTCGTTGGCCTTGCTATATTCTATACGAAATCTTTTTCCTTATATAAAGTCATTCTATCCTCCAAACGAGAAAATTTCACTTTTAAGAACATTGAAATAGTTACTGTTGTAAATTACAATGCTTATCTTTATGTCTAAATTTCAATAAACAATTATGTAGTTTGTAAATATAGTACGTCTTGTTGCTTTTGCCTTAATAATACAGCATTTAAAAGCACCCAAAACGATGAAAAAAGAACCCACACCAGCATCCAATCCATTCTAAAAATACACCCAAAAATCCAGACCTTATTAATTACTCAAAAATAAAAAGGTAAACACAGAAACAGTGAACTTAAATATCTTTTATTGGATTATTGTAACGAAACTACAATCACAATCAGCATAAAATGTTAGATGGTACAAGAATATTCGTAAGATTTACATATAAACACATTTAAAGATATGTTTGAAACTTATTTTCTTAATGTAACTTTAAACTTAATATCTTATTCGGGAATGGGAGGTAGATATCGATATACTTTGTCAAATATATTATAAAGTCTAACCGCTGTTATTAATTCATCACGAAAATCGGAAATTTCACTTCTTTGTAGTTCTGCTAACAAAAAAAAACTCTTATAATAAATCTTTTAACTATATTTAAAATAATTTTTGTACTTACCTTCATATAGTAATAATTTTTTCATGTTAAAATCAATTATGTATTGATCCGGAAAGATATCTTTAAATTTTCTAGTTATTTTCAAAATTTGTATGTACAACTGCTGTAATTCTTTAGTTCTTATTTCAAAAGGATCACAGTAAGAAGAACCGAGCATGAGGACATCGTGCGCGTGCAAAGAATTGGATACTAGTTCTAAAATAATTAACTTCTTTATGATCTTCGCCTATATAAAGATAAATTATTAAGTTTAAAATTTAAACTAAATGTTGATGAATGGATAAATAAAGCAGTGCAAGGCCAATCCGCCTAGAAGACGCCTCCCAGAAGTATTTTCTATGAGAAATTGGCATCTGAATATGAAGAAAACCCGGAAAACTTCACGTGCATCACAAACAAACTGATAGCATGGAGTTTCCAGGGCTTTTCTTTACGTGTCTAACATCTAAATAGGTACCAGTTCCACACAGAAAATCCTCTGGGAGGCACCCCCTGGTAGATTCTTAAGTGCCATTGCTTTATTCTGTCAATCTAATCCAGGCGCAAATACAAGATCATCAACCTATGTTGAATGGTTTTAATAAATACAAAACTTTTTTAATAAAATCGTATCATGCTTCGAAATATGCAACATATAACAAGGAATGAAAGCTGTTAGCACGTGCGTATTACTTACGAAGACGTAATCGCATACAATTCATTGATTTTACTAGTATACAGCAACTTAATTTAATGATTTAATAATATAAAATAATTACCCTTTCTCTTTTTTGTTTCCGAATAGCACGAGGGAGTGGATGGTTATATAACCAATTTGTACAAATCATCATCTTTTTTTGATATAGCATTCTAAAGTATTTCACTTCTTCCCTACATTCCTCGCTTATTGGAATCTAATATAGAAGAAAAACTCTTCAATTTAATTAAAATAAAATACATATTTTAATCAAATATTCTTACCATTGTGTCCACTTTATGCAAATTACATTCATTTTGTTTCATGTAGCAACTCTTACCAACTATTCCAACTTTTGAAGCTTTTAATCCAAATAAATACATCTGTACCGTTATGCAGTGTACACAGTTCCATATTCCAGATTGAAACCTAAAACAATCTCCACTACGCGAACACGATGACACTGTTCTAGAAATGACACAATGTAAGAAGAATTTTATGCAAACCTTACAAGTAACATTGCCGTAATAATCGTTCCACCCTTGTGGAAAATCGCAAATAACGCATTTAACTCCGAACATATCTACAAAAGAATAAAATTTCGTGAAATATTTTAAGAAATTCGATTAAATTAATCACATTTTTTTACCTGTACTAAACCTCAATGCTTGAATCTGTTCAATGGTAGTCATTAATATAAAATTATCAATAACAGTAAATATCACGAACTCTTTCCCAATTTCGAATCGTAAATGTAGCTCATTTGCATAATTGTTTATAACTCTTACAAATTTTAATGTAGGGGGCGTCTGGATAACAAGCATTTATGCNTTTTTAAACGAAATTATAACTTATTTCAAGTAAAATTTCTGATGCTTCAGTATATTTTCTTTCATATTATAAATAATAATATTTTCATTTCAGATAAAAGTGATCAAGAGAATAATAACACCGAAGAAGAAGAATTTACTATGGCTCTTTTTAGAGATTCATTAGGAAAAATAATTTCTAATCCACTGGTGAAGATAAGTATTCTTATAATCTACATCGTTAACTTATCACTTGGAATTTGGGGCACATTTTACATCCAACACGGCATTAAGTATGAAAAGTTATTTGCAAAAGATTCTGTACTTACAGAAGGATACAGAATTAATTTGAAGTACTTCAAGCGTCATTCGTATCCCTATCATATAATAATCAATGAAACGTTGGATTATTCAGACATTAAAGTTCAAAAATCGTTAGAAAATCTGTTGGAAAAATTCCAAATGCATCCCAACATTGCTGATGGACAATTCACTTTATCTTGGTTGAAATTCTACAAAGTATTTCAGAAAAATCCCATAGCCAAATTTTCATTACAAGGTTACAATATGTCAAACAAACAAGATTTCATCGATGGGCTTCGCAATGTTTTCTTTAACATCAAAGCTGCCCAGTCATTTTCCAATGACGTCGTCTTTAACAGCAACAAAACTGACATCTTATACAGTAGATTTTTTGTTATGGGACGAAATGTCAATTCATCAGACATAGAAAGAGACACATTAAGAGATTTATTGAAAATTGCTGACGAATCTGACATTCCTGTGCTGGTGCATTGCATTAAGTCAAATCTAATTGAACAAGGAATCATAATTGGACAAATGGTTTACCAATTGTTTTGGATTACTGCAACACTGATAACAGCAGTCTTTTTATTGTTTGTACCAAATTTATTAGTGGCAATTATTGTTGCAATTTCTGTGGTTTCTTTAATAGTAGAAACTTTAGGTTACATGTCTTTATGGGATGTCAACTTGGATATTATATCATTGATGAGTCTGATTCTGTGTGTGGGATTCAGCGTGAATTATCCTGCTCATATTTCGTACGCTTATGTCATGTCACAACGCAAGACACCAAACGAAAAATTAAAAGATTCTCTGTATCGTATAGGCTTTCCAATACTTCAAGGATCTTTGACCACGGGATTAGGAATATTGATTTTATATTCTGATGTATATTTTCTTTGCACATTTGCGAAAATTGTGATTCTTGTTGCTCTGGAAACGGCTTTTCATGCCTTATTCTTTATTCCTGTTATTCTTTCTATCATCTACGCTATATCCGATAAGACAAAAACAATTTTTTGTTAATCAGGAAATCGTAATCTTAGTGTGTTGTCATTCTTTCGTAATTTTCAATTACGTGAACATCACAATAACTCCCGAAAGACATCAATTAAATTTATCGGAATATTATTTTCTTTTAAAATAATGATAAAAAATTTTCCATTTTCCTTTATTCGTGTTTGCTCAAGTAGTTTTTATATTATTCATTAATTTCTAATGTAATATAATTTAACAGTGTAAACGTGCTCTATCCTAACAGTAAGAAAATAACATGGATATATCTATATGCACCCTCTGTGTATGTAGATGTGTGCCCAAAGTTTAGCAACGATGAACACAAGTTACTTTACTGTGTATATGTTGTCTATTCGGACCTTTTTATTAATAGGACTTATTCTACTGGTGTAGATTCTGGGCAAAGAAAGGATATAACAAGTCCTATTAATAAACAAGGTTCAAGTAGACAATATACACAGAAATGTAAAACAGTAAGGACATTAGATTCATTAATTAATAAATAGAACATGTCTAAAATCAAATCTAAAGAATTTTGTAAAATAATTTAATATAATTTTTTAACTGCTCGGTAAAAATTTGTAAATATCAATTAGTAATTAGATTATACTATACTCTATCTCACTATTAGTGAGAATAAAAGTTTTTGACCATTTAATATAGTTTAATTCAATAATATCTACGGATCTTTTGACAAAAACACAATTATTTTAGGAGAAACGAGAATCCGTTGAAATGATAATATAATTCAATAGATTATATAAAGCAAAATATGCCTAGTATGATACGTAACTAGTGTGGAAGACCCATTAGATTGAGTTACAGGTGAAAGGAGGGTATTGTGACATATTTAGATAAAGATATAGGGCAAAACATAACAAAGAGAGTGTAGAAATATACTGTAGTAGATCCTTTAGTTAGTTATTCTAGCATCCTACTTTTATTTTTTTCAGAGGTGATGGCTCGCGAGTCGTGGTCACCCACTCGACGCACCATGAATTACTAATTGTAATAGTGATATCGTGTACTATTGTGAACATTAGAATTAGAATTGTACTAACGATAATAATAGTAAGGGCAATTACTAATAATATTATAGTATTTTATATTGTAGTATCGTGTAACAGAAATAAATCAAATTTAAATCGAAAGATTTTTTCCTCAGATTGTCTGAAAGAATCAATAAAATCTACGCTTTATATCAATTTCTCAGTTGATCTGAAATGAAGAAAATTTCCATTTCATTTCTTACCTTATTGCCCCCTTTTTCATCTCTAGTAGATGGCATCAATAATGCTTTTTCTATCAACCGATTTTTCTATTTTTCTACAAAAGAAAGAAACAAATCTGCCAATTAAACTCGTTTTCGAATTCCGCGTTCAAAACGTTATTGCCGTTTAGTAAGAAAGTTAAAACAAACAAGTATATTAAGTATACGTAACAATGGTCTCAAGAAGTACCTCGAACAAACTTGTTGTTTTGGTATTGTTTTTCTATCTCCTGCATTTAATTAATACTGAAAATTTTGTTGTTTCTGTATCACTTATGAATACCATCCGAGACAATGCATATTCATCTAAAACTGGTGAAGTTTGGTGAAAAAAGCCGCTAATCCGGTAATCTTTACTTTGCCTTAAAATAAAAGCAGAAAATTGTCATAATATAATGCAAACAATATGAATGAAGATTTTTCTTCTCCCAAGTTTAAGTAAATCAACTGTTTGCATGAACAACGTTGAGAATTGTCCAATCCATATATAAGAGCTTTTATCGAACAGGGTCTTTGGAAACATTTCATGCAAATTTCTTCTTTGCTATTCGAGTTCTTATTGTCGTGTCTTCAGAATTATGATATGAAAAATGAATGAAAGATGTTAAGATTATAATAATCTAAATTCGAGTCTTAATTAACTTTATGTACTATACAAGTGTATCTTTCATGCCCACCTAACGGCGAATTTGGGGTTTTCTCTCGTAAAGTGTCTGCTTGTTCCTTCCCGTTCAGCTGTTTCCATCAATGACTTTCTGTAATAAGTCTATTACCCTGTTTCGGAATGACGTCGTCATTAATATACACCTTCTGTTCGGTAGAACGGAAAGTCAAATTCGTCATAAAATAGCAGCCATCGAAAATTCTTTTTGATTCTGAACGAATATGCTTCATCTGATTACTGTAATTTCACGAAATCAAATATTTGTCAATTATTTCTGTGACATTCACTTTGAAGAAATAGTTTAAAAGTTTATTCATTAATATTTAAGTGCTGTACAAAATTAATTGATTAATCATATATTTATGTTGAGTCATTAAAATTTAACCAATATCAATTATTGTAATACAGAGAAGAGTTTCGGATCGGATCGTAGATTTCTTTCTTGTCTGAGAGCACTAGCACCATTTAAATATTGTTACCTTTTCTACTAGTTTCTGTTAGACAAATATATTATTAAAGTAATTACGACTAATTATAAATGTCGTATTAAGCAATGTATACTATTAAATATGTTCCGTTATGACTATCAATTTTACATCATTTCCATATTACATATATTGTGTAGTATTGTACACTAAAGTAAATTATGGTGAAAAAAGTTCTGGAAGCTGCGAGTGAGAAAATAAATTTTATTAAAGCAAACTGACTAGTGTTTTTTTATCATACCAAACAAAACAACAAAGTAGAAAATAGTAGTGTTTTTCGATAAAAAATTTGAAAAATTACAATACTAACGGAAAAGTATGATATACAGGAGTAAGACACTACTAATTTGAAGTGGAGAGCATATATTTTTTTTAAATTAAATAAATTATAAACATGATTAAAAATTGCAGCTTGACATTGTGGCGATGTCACAAAAAATAATTGCTTGTTCTCGTTAGCATCTTCGAGGACTGAAGCAGGACCAAGAAATTCTGTTCACTATCTGTTCCATTTTTTATGGGACAGATGGTGAACGTTACCAGAGTCTGCTCTATTATTTTCGAATAATTACAGGTTGGACATATTATTCAAGCTTCCACAGTATTATATACAAAAAATAATAATAATTATAAAAGTGGTTCGCTGATTGGGCAACTGGGTCATAAAGGACAAGGCCCAATTTCTGCTTGGATCACCCCCCGAAAATTTCTTGGGGATTTTTCGACCCGATCGGATTGAATCCCGGGTCTCCCAGAGCGGTAGGCTGCCACCGTTCGGCCATCCGGCCGTCTTTAAAGTTTCTTTATGCTATTTTCGATGATTAAAATATTAAAAACAAATATTAAATTTATTTGTTTCTGTAGTCTGCTTTCTGTACTGTGGAGTATAAGCATTCTATATCTATTATTATTATTATTATTATTAATGTACCGGTACAGTACAGTACGTGTTGGCTTAATAAAGAAATCTATTAATAAACTTTCAAATTAATTAAATAATTGTAGTTTGATAAATCCTTTGTAATAACAAGTTTCATTACTTAATAACTATCAAGAATATTACATAGAAAAATTAATTTTTTATAGTCCATCTTGGCAAGATTATCTGTTGCATAATTTGTTGCAATCTACGCGTGTTCTCGACATAGTAAATTACAGTATTTTGAATCTTGCGATCCTTATTTCCTATCAGTTTACAGCCTGTAAATTAGCCGAAAACATTTATTGTGATTAAAGTCATTGCTGGAAAAGCACGAATGGTGTGTTTTTTATTTTATCGTCAAATCTCGAATTATTAAAAAGGAAATTTTTGAGTTGCCTACTTTTGGGTTACTTTTCAGAAAAATTTTGGCTACGAACACTAAAAACATCTGGCAATGTTTTTCTGTATTGAGGTTACCTTACCCTGACTTATGAGCGCAACAGTTCCAATTTCCTTTGTTCGGTGTTGGCGACATTAGAAAATGGCAAAATTGTCCGCATCTAAACTGAACATTTTAGCAAACAAGTTTAAAGATGAAGGCTTATGCACAGACGGAAAAGTTCTTCGCTGTTCCATTTCCGATTATGTGATTTCGGTTGATGTGAAACACCAAGAAACGAAAATCAAGCGACACGAATTCGGAAAAGCATAGAAAAGGCAAACAAAAAATGAGGAATTTCGAACAGATATTTATGAGGGCCTCATTTCAAAGAGAGAAGAATATCAGAAGGCTAATAATGCGATAAATACAGATTTTAACGACCGCTTTTCTGCGGCAAATATACCCTTATATAAGGTAAACAATCCAGCCTTTAAGTTATTTCTCCAGAAATATACGGGAAAGCTTGATCCCATCGAGAGCACTCTTAGAAAAAACTACGTGAAACCAGTTTATGATCAAATAATATCTACAATTCTGAACGTTGTCGGAGACAATCCTGTAGTCTTTATAGTCTTTATACTGGACAAAACAACGAATTCCACAAAACGGTACGTGCTGAACGTTCTTCTTGCACCACTGACCGGATGCTATGTACAACCAATGTTGTTCAAAATGTACCAACTTAAAAATACAAACTCAGCTGCAGTGTCCCAAGCTTCAATGATGTTTGCGTCACGTTGTGGCCAAATGGTGTCCAGTACGATAAGGTTTGGTTTGTCGTTACAGATCAAGCATTTTACGTTGTCAGAATTCTCAAATTTGAAGTGTATTTACAACCACCTAAAACATGTGACTCGTGTTGCCCATGCCCTACACGGAGTATGAGAACGTATTCGCGTAGAATATAGCAATGCCAACGACTTCATTTCGAAAATGAAAATGGTTCTTCTCAAGTGCCCTAGTTGGGAGCGCTTGTAGCAAGACGTAACTACCATTACCACCCACTCCAATGGTCACCTGTTGGGGGTCTTGGATAAAGACAACTGAGACTAAACGGGCATGTTTCATTTTTACTCGGAATTCTAGTTCAGTGCAATCCAAAATATTTTTAAAATCGGGATTTTTTGATAAACTAGATCTGAGTTTGTCGAGGGCAAAACCGTCCAGTACATCAAGCCTGATTTACAACATTCCATTGATCCCGCATTTCAGTTTCACGTTTTTCCAGCTCGTTGATTTTATTCGCCAATAACTTGTACGAATGCGCGGAGTAGAGCTCTGTGATCACTACTGGATCAGCGACCAGTTTGATACTGTAGACGGCCGCAGAATCGCCAGGAGAAAGTTCGTTGATAAACGCATCAATTTTCTCGAAGTTCTCACAGTAAAATACCACGCTGTTTCTCCAAGACCCCCAACGGGTGACCACTGGACTGGGTGGTAATGGTAGTTACGTCTTGCTACAAGCGCTCCCGACTAGGGCACCTGAAAAGAACCATTTTCATTTTCGAAATGAAGTCGTTGGCCTTGCTATATTCTATACGAAATCTTTTTCCTTATATAAAGTCATTCTATCCTCCAAACGAGAAAATTTCACTTTTAAGAACATTGAAATAGTTACTGTTGTAAATTACAATGCTTATCTTTATGTCTAAATTTCAATAAACAATTATGTAGTTTGTAAATATAGTACGTCTTGTTGCTTTTGCCTTAATAATACAGCATTTAAAAGCACCCAAAACGATGAAAAAAGAACCCAAACCAGCATCCAATCCATTCTAAAAATACACCCAAAAATCCAGACCTTATTAATTACTCAAAAATAAAAAGGTAAACACAGAAACAGTGAACTTAAATATCTTTTATTGGATTATTGTAACGAAACTACAATCACAATCAGCATAAAATGTTAGATGGTACAAGAATATTCGTAAGATTTACATATAAACACATTTAAAGATATGTTTGAAACTTATTTTCTTAATGTAACTTTAAACTTAATATCTTATTCGGGAATGGGAGGTAGATATCGATATACTTTGTCAAATATATTATAAAGTCTAACCGCTGTTATTAATTCATCACGAAAATCGGAAATTTCACTTCTTTGTAGTTCTGCTAACAAAAAAAAACTCTTATAATAAATCTTTTAACTATATTTAAAATAATTTTTGTACTTACCTTCATATAGTAATAATTTTTTCATGTTAAAATCAATTATGTATTGATCCGGAAAGATATCTTTAAATTTTCTAGTTATTTTCAAAATTTGTATGTACAACTGCTGTAATTCTTTAGTTCTTATTTCAAAAGGATCACAGTAAGAAGAACCGAGCATGAGGACATCGTGCGCGTGCAAAGAATTGGATACTAGTTCTAAAATAATTAACTTCTTTATGATCTTCGCCTATATAAAGATAAATTATTAAGTTTAAAATTTAAACTAAATGTTGATGAATGGATAAATAAAGCAGTGCAAGGCCAATCCGCCTAGAAGACGCCTCCCAGAAGTATTTTCTATGAGAAATTGGCATCTGAATATGAAGAAAACACGGAAAACTTCACGCGCATCACAAACAAACTGATAGCATGGAGTTTCCAGGGCTTTTCTTTACGTGTCTAACATCTAAATAGGTACCAGTTCCACACAGAAAATCCTCTGGGAGGCACCCCCTGGTAGATTCTTAAGTGCCATTGCTTTATTCTGTCAATCTAATCCAGGCGCAAATACAAGATCATCAACCTATGTTGAATGGTTTTAATAAATACAAAACTTTTTTAATAAAATCGTATCATGCTTCGAAATATGCAACATATAACAAGGAATGAAAGCTGTTAGCACGTGCGTATTACTTACGAAGACGTAATCGCATACAATTCATTGATTTTACTAGTATACAGCAACTTAATTTAATGATTTAATAATATAAAATAATTACCCTTTCTCTTTTTTGTTTCCGAATAGCACGAGGGAGTGGATGGTTATATAACCAATTTGTACAAATCATCATCTTTTTTTGATATAGCATTCTAAAGTATTTCACTTCTTCCCTACATTCCTCGCTTATTGGAATCTAATATAGAAGAAAAACTCTTCAATTTAATTAAAATAAAATACATATTTTAATCAAATATTCTTACCATTGTGTCCACTTTATGCAAATTACATTCATTTTGTTTCATGTAGCAACTCTTACCAACTATTCCAACTTTTGAAGCTTTTAATCCAAATAAATACATCTGTACCGTTATGCAGTGTACACAGTTCCATATTCCAGATTGAAACCTAAAACAATCTCCACTACGCGAACACGATGACACTGTTCTAGAAATGACACAATGTAAGAAGAATTTTATGCAAACCTTACAAGTAACATTGCCGTAATAATCGTTCCACCCTTGTGGAAAATCGCAAATAACGCATTTAACTCCGAACATATCTACAAAAGAATAAAATTTCGTGAAATATTTTAAGAAATTCGATTAAATTAATCACATTTTTTTACCTGTACTAAACCTCAATGCTTGAATCTGTTCAATGGTAGTCATTAATATAAAATTATCAATAACAGTAAATATCACGAACTCTTTCCCAATTTCGAATCGTAAATGTAGCTCATTTGCATAATTGTTTATAACTCTTACAAATTTTAATGTAGGGGGCGTCTGGATAACAAGCATTTATGCAACCAATAGCATACTTCATTTCATATAAAATGGATGATGTTATTGGTCAGCTTACTTAGCTTCTTCTCACTTACCATCATTTTTTAATCAATTTCTACTATTATCTATATATATTCTTTTTATAATTAATACTAGAATGTTGTTTTATAGTATTTTTTAAACACTTTTGTAATTTTTTAATTGATTTTAATAAAATTAAAAGTGTAATGAAACTACGATTAATTGTATTTAATTTAAAATTCTTTTTCTTAAATTTTTTAATATTTTTATTTGATGATAATTAATTTAAATATAATTAAATTTATTTTTATCTTAATAATAGCTATATGTAATTTGCTATAAATTTTAAGCATTCACCACAGTTTTCAATTGGAAAGTTCACTGAGATTTTGTTAAACTAATATGTACTGTGCAATTACATATTTGAACTACATGTAGACTCATTGATAATAAGTTATGCACTAAGAAGAATCATTTACCTTTTCTTCCCTTGGGATACTTAGAAGGCTTTCCGAAACAATTACGAATTTATATAGCTCCGATTATGGAAGTTTAATTTGGCCTCGTACCTTACGTCAGGCGCTTAAGAAACGGGGCATAATATATCAGAGACAAGCATCTCAGAGACTCATTTTCTGCGAGTGGTTTCAAAATTCTTAACAGATTTCGATTCTAAATTTATGGTGCACTGCTTCGCGCACTTGTTTTAAAGTTTTATGAAGATTTATCTATTTACCGCCATTTCTATTTCTTCTGTAAGTAAAGAAGCTAAGTATTCTATGTACAGGGTGGCCATAACTATGTTTACCTATTCAGAACACACTGTGTCTGTAAGCGGGTCGACACGAAAATTTGCGTACGGAGTTTTCAAGATAAGGATTGTGCAAAATTTTACAAAAAAATAAAATAAATTTAGTTCAAAAACTTCCGCTAGGAGGCACCTTACAGGAAAATACAAGAAAGAAAACAACAAAACACAACTAGACGAGATGTTCTACGAAGGACGTGCCTTCTGCAGAAGCTGCTTACTTATGTGAGGAATATTGCTCAAGTTCATTGTTCTGGTGTAAAATTTGAAGTCGATACACTGCATGTTCTGCTGACAGTGCTCATCACTGGATTAATTTATGCAGATGATACGATCACTTAAGTGTGCCGAAGTTGTAGCATTTCTGTGAGAAATCACATTCCAAATCATATATGCCAAAGGCAATTTGTCATATATAATTTAGAACAGGGCTTCTTAAACTATGGGTCGCGACCCCATTTGGGATCGCTTAGCGAAATCTTGGGATCGCAAGATTTTAATGCAAAATATTAGAAAATAATTTGTGAAAGTTTGAAAATGGCATGCTTTGTGTCATAGGTTTCGTGAGTTGCGCTTTGTGTCATTTCTGGTGCAGCGAGACAATGATTCAGCAACACTGATTGTAGTGTGAACTAGTGTAGTGTTGTCGCTTTTCAGTGCATTTAGTTGTCTCTATTCCATTGTAACACAAGAGTAAACTGTGGTAGTACACCATTATTGTCTTTGCAAATTTGTATGTATCTTTATTTTATATTTTTTGGGTCGTGAAAAAAATCACAATCATAAATGGAGTTCTGAATAAAGAAAGTTTAAGAAGCCCTGGTTTAGAATATGGTTTCTCAGCGGAAGTTTTGAAGTAAATTTATTTTGCAATATTCTTCTCTGCTTGTTTTGCATAGTTCATATACAAATTTTGGTGTTAATTTACTTGTTGTTACAGTAACAGAGTGCTCTGAATAAGGAATAAATATTTCTACCTTTCAAGGTTCACTTTTTATAAGTATTTCAAGTACAGTATTATTTTCCCGACTGTTATACTGTATATAATAGAGGGAAAGTATGGCGATCGGTCAAAAAATGACCCTCGAAGATTTTTACATTTTTTGGACTTAGGACACATTGAAATGTCGAGAAATGCAAAAAATCGGGGGGTAATTTCTGTATGAATGTGTGAATGTGTGTTTCACGATTTTGTTCACTCTGAAGCTTAATAAATACCGTGCTTTTTGTCCAAAATGTCTGAAAATTTGCAGGGAGGTTTGTTTATTAGAGGGATTGATGCTAGTAAATTTTGGTGGTTAAAGGTCCAGGGGTGGGGAGATAATGGGAGTCATTTGTATCTCTAGTAGAATAGGACTTAATGACGATTTTTCTCGTTATTAGTATTTACANGATCCGTTAAAGTTGCTAAAATTGTTCTATTTCTCAAATTACCTAGGTAATGTGCAGATTATCTAGGTAATCTGCAAATTACCTACTAGGCACTCGGTAAAGTGAAAATAAGATCTTTACTGAAACAACAGCAACGTTTCTGTACGCTTAAATTAACATAAGGTTCTTTATCTAATTTTCGATATCTAAAGAATAAAGATAATACAATCAAACAATCGACAAATTAGTTGATAGAATCAATCATTAACCAATTAAAAAACATACAAAAATCAAACGATTTAAAATATTAATACAATTAGGGAAATTATTATATAGATAACCATCTATGGAATTTCGGGACTTTGAGTATCTATATGAACTGAGGGGACCGAGACGACTTCAACGATACCCTACTTTTGGACCGGAGACATCCAAAATAATAAACTTATCATACTTTTTCTGGTGATCGCATGATATAATTGTGTAGTTAATGTTACCTATGGTGAGTAAAATGGCGGCTCGTCTCTGATTCCAGCAAAGAGAAGAAAGGAAACAGTGGGGACGNTAGACGAGATGTTCTACGAAGGACGTGCCTTCTGCAGAAGCTGCTTACTTATGTGAGGAATATTGCTCAAGTTCATTGTTCTGGTGTAAAATTTGAAGTCGATACACTGCATGTTCTGCTGACAGTGCTCATCACTGGATTAATTTATGCAGATGATACGATCACTTAAGTGTGCCGAAGTTGTAGCATTTCTGTGAGAAATCACATTCCAAATCATATATGCCAAAGGCAATTTGTCATATATAATTTAGAACAGGGCTTCTTAAACTATGGGTCGCGACCCCATTTGGGATCGCTTAGCGAAATCTTGGGATCGCAAGATTTTAATGCAAAATATTAGAAAATAATTTGTGAAAGTTTGAAAATGGCATGCTTTGTGTCATAGGTTTCGTGAGTTGCGCTTTGTGTCATTTCTGGTGCAGCGAGACAATGATTCAGCAACACTGATTGTAGTGTGAACTAGTGTAGTGTTGTCGCTTTTCAGTGCATTTAGTTGTCTCTATTCCATTGTAACACAAGAGTAAACTGTGGTAGTACACCATTATTGTCTTTGCAAATTTGTATGTATCTTTATTTTATATTTTTTGGGTCGTGAAAAAAATCACAATCATAAATGGAGTTCTGAATAAAGAAAGTTTAAGAAGCCCTGGTTTAGAATATGGTTTCTCAGCGGAAGTTTTGAAGTAAATTTATTTTGCAATATTCTTCTCTGCTTGTTTTGCATAGTTCATATACAAATTTTGGTGTTAATTTACTTGTTGTTACAGTAACAGAGTGCTCTGAATAAGGAATAAATATTTCTACCTTTCAAGGTTCACTTTTTATAAGTATTTCAAGTACAGTATTATTTTCCCGACTGTTATACTGTATATAATAGAGGGAAAGTATGGCGATCGGTCAAAAAATGACCCTCGAAGATTTTTACATTTTTTGGACTTAGGACACATTGAAATGTCGAGAAATGCAAAAAAATCGGGGGTAATTTCTGTGTGAATGTGTGTTGCACGATTTTGTTCACTCTAAAGCTTAATAAATACCGTGCTTTTTGTCCAAAATGTCTGAAAATTTGCAGGGAGGTTTGTTTATTAGAGAGATTGATGCTAGTAAATTTTGGTGGTTAAAGGTCCAGGGGTGGGGAGATAATGGGAGTCGTTTGTATCTCTAGTAGAATAGGACTTAATGACGATTTTACTCGTTATTAGTATTTACAATTCATTTATAAAACTCATCCCTACCCTCAAAATGAAGTTTTTGACACTTTATAATAGTTAAAAATATGATAGCAGAAGGGGCTACCAAAATTGTAAATATCGCCGGGAAACATGAGCAACTTATTGCGAATTTATTTTTTATATAAACAATAAATAGGAAGTCAAAAGGATGTCATAAGAACAATTTTTAATTACTTTTTTCACAAAAAGTTCTGATAACAATGAGAAATTTATTCAGCAATTTATTTTAAAATATGATTTGTGATATGAGATAAACTATGAGAATAAAATTTTACTTTTCAGTCTAAATAAAAAATTAATAAATATTGGTTAAAAAATATATAATTATTCTGAGGTTCTGTGTTATATTCTTTCAGTTAACTTAATTACTTATCAATAATTTGCTATACAAAATTAAATTTGTAATGCGAGTCAGCACGATTACATAAAACAAACAGATAAGTATGTTATTTGTCAGTTCATAACGATTCATGTGATTTTGTTAATTAACAAATAATGGCTACTATCGATCAGATCGAAGAACTCAGACCTAAATTAAGTAAGCATTTACATTTAATTTAATACCTAATTAACTTAAAACATTTTCTCTATAATTATTATCACAATTTTAACTAGAATAAATACAAGTGATACCTATTAAAATTGGCAATTTTGCTGCACATTAATTTTCAGGATTAAAAACAGCTTTAAAGTAATTAAACATGCTTCATACATAGGAAAAGGCTCACTTCACTAAGTAGTTGGAAATGCTATTTCA